ACCTTACGTCCGGCAAACAAAACAACGCCCTCCTCAGTAAGCGGTGACCGGGTATACGTAGTACGCGCGCATGCGAACGCACTTATTCAGTACTACCTGTTATTCTATGGAAGTAGCACGTTCACCACTGGTTGGTATTTACCTACGCACATCATCGTTGCGGATAGGCTGGTGCCACCCGACACCAGCAATGCTCCGAATACAGCGATGACTAATGACATGAAGGTGCTGCAAGCCCTCAGATCGAAAGGATCAAGTCTCACTCCCATGTAGTAGGACGAGCTTCACTGTGGCCTTGTATACACGACCCTTTAGACCGAGGTAAACTTCTTTCTGACCCCACAGATGTCGCAGATGCAAGGCAGTTCTAGCTTTTGCTATACGTGAATTGACTTTAGTGCGCCCATCGTTGCTGATGCATCTGACAAAGTAAGCAAATTGGTCAAACAACTCGACTCTGTCGATGTCAAGGGTTAACGGAACATCAAGCAGCCGGTGGTTCTGCAATAACACCTAGTACATCGAAGGTGGGAAGCGCATGCCAAATGATGGAACACAGTTATTGCCGGTTTGCGGTACGTGTGACGCTGTGCTAACACCTGCCGCAGAGTGCATATGTGGTCTATACAGCTCCGGCCTGGGCGGAAACCTACTTGTTCTTCCCTAATCCAGGATTCACACTCCGTAGTGAGGCGACGAAGGAGAATTGACACCAGTAATTCTGTCACCGCCAGTGTTAGGTTAGTATCTCTATGGTCAGCGCATTCGGTGAGACTACCCATCTTGTATAGCACCACTGTAATGGACTCACTCCAGTTAGCTGGGACGACCACTTCCTTCTAGACCTGCTCGAACAGTGAGGTCAGTGTTTTGCAGAGGGCCTCACCACCATCCTGAAAAAGTGGGGGTGCGAGCGAATACGGGCCAGAAGCACGAAAGTGAGTAGGGACTGCGATTGCGTTGCGGAACATTACCTTCGATGGATACTCTAAACTAACCGGACATGACTTAGCCTGCACCATCTGAGTGGGAATAGGTTTGGAAACAGGAGGCCCTCGAAAGTGCTCCGCCCAACAAGCCATACGGCATTCCTTATTGTGAATCATGGCATTCGCGCTGTCTCTGGTTGTCTCAATGACACCTGATTTCCTCGGACCAGTGGTTGGGATCAATAGAAGTACCTGCGATAGCTGCTTACTGCTCCCGCCCGCTCCATTTCGTGAGCTCTACAGATCCACCAGACTTCCTTGTCAGTACGCATGGCTCCGGCTTAGTTCGCGCCTAATAGTCCGGCCGGTCAGACTGTGCTTAGAGGGAGCCGGTAATTTTCTTCCAGATTCAAACAGGTTCACGGACCCCTCGGATATCCAGTGACTGGTGCGGTGACTGTTGATAGTGACGCAAGCAGACGCTTACGCATCATGCACGGCGACCCAGATCCTATTCCAATGAAGATCAGTGTCATCAGGACAAGAGAATGAAAATTCGGTACGCAGGGCAATATTGTAGGTTTGTGTAACCGAGTGATAGGATAATCACTTAGTTACCAATGGAGGGGAAGATTGATACGCCTCCCGGTAGATTGCAGAGAAAAACGACATCGTACTAAGGCATGAGCAGAGTCGACGGAAGTGCTCCCGAAAGAACGACAGTTCAGGATGGAACCACGCCACCAGTAACCCATGGCAGCGTGACCTATTTGGGTTCATCGCTGGTCAGCTATAGGGAAACGGCAAGTGGCATTTCGGCGCCCAATGCGTCTAAAAGCAGTGCTACTAAGAAACAACCGGTGCTTACCACACAGTTGCAACAGATGCTCACCATAGTCCACACGGTCGGAGTTAAGTCCATACTTACCACCTGGCTGAGCTTCTGGTGTTCAGACGATCTAGTTGTGCATTCATATCCCCTGCAAGAACTACGATATCTGAAGTGGTAGCACTGCGAAGCAGCGTGTTCAGCTCGTGATAGAAGGAGTCCTTGACAGAATCAGAACTTCAGTCGGTGGGTGCATGAACGGAAACCACATGCAAACAGTGAGTAGTGCCACTTAGTTGATGTTAAACGGGATGCGAAAAACGACTGCTCACGGGAATCCAAGCAAAAACGGTGACTCAGCTTTGGTTCTGAGAACAATGGCCACTCCAGCCTAACCAGTGGTTGCCGCATCAGCGTCTCCGGATGCGGGCAACGAGGACAATCCAGGCGCAGTTAATTCAACAACCCCATTAAGGTCAGTGATCCTAGTTTCGGACACAACACACGCCAATACCCAACGTGTCTAACGTGCGTGCGAGTGTAGATTGATGACCTATTTGTCCTAGACAGCGAAAGCTGCCAAGGAAAAGGGACAGTATGGCCTTATAAGAAGCTACTAACGATTAGTGTTAAGTGGGTGGTGCGGGAAGGTGACTGCAGTTGGTGTGACTCCATTGGCATTGCGGCTGCCATCAAATGTGCTTGGAAGTATGGAAGGAAAGTTAGTAATGGGGTTGGGAGCGAAGTAGGAGAGACTGAAAAAAGAACGGAGACGCACACAGCAGCATGTTATAGCTTACCCGCCCTGCTATATGCAGTAGATAAGGAAACTCTTGATAATTTTCGTGACGGCCGATACAAGATGTGTTTAAAGTTTGAGGAAATAGTTATGGTTTTGCGTGTGCTGAGACCTAGACATGAGAACGACTAGGGTTTTCAACCAAAGATTTTGGATCAAAAACCTGTCCGCATTGCAGCGGGGAGGTGGCAATGATTTGGTTTTGCAGAAATGGATGCTATCCGATTTCTAATACGAACCTGGAGCACCATGAGAGTGAGTTTATCTGACTAACTATTGACGAACCTGGTGGGAGTAGCTCTCAAGGAGCCTGGGGTACCACCTATTACGGCTCAATGGGTCGAAGAAGTAGGCAAACCGGCGCACCGCCTTAAGATCAGTCTCGTTGTAGAGCAGCATAAAACAGCGCAAATACAGTGGGATGGAGAAGAAAACATCATGAAAATGATGAGTAAAAATGAGCATTAAGAAGCAATAAGCCACAAGTAACAGTGACACTGGCCTCGCGTTTTGGTTGCTGGTTAAGGTTTCTAACAACTTACATGGCTAAACTCGAGACTGCATTTAGTGTGACCAAATCGCACAATCAAATTCTTTGTGTGTTTCCCGTATCATCAGTTGGTCCAATGGGGGCTTCAACCAACCGGGCGAAGTGCCACAAAAAAACCCATGAGCCGAGATAGGTGGCTCATAAACAAGTGAAGAACACAGCCAAACAAATGTAAGCAGCTTAATTTCAGCGCAGCATCAGAGGGTTTTCGTGTGAATATCAATTGCCGCACTCTATCATAACTCGGCCTATAGTCTAGAAAGATATGAGAAATTTCGTGCAGGCACCAGGTGATTGAAGACAACCACCCTCTGAATGTGCAACATATCACGTTCCCGACCTATACGGTAATCTCGGTACTCAACTGTGTTGTGCGCCTCGACCTTGATTGACACGCTGAATTATCAAACACTTCAACGTGCTGAACACCAGAAAATCGATAGTGTACCAAGTTCGTCCAGCAACAGTACCTTACACATCGTAACCGCAAAGAACGCAAAGCGCTACACATTAGTCTGCTCAGAAGTGCCTGTACAGAGGGCATGTGTGACTACGAAGGTTGTATTGTCTGGGTAATCTATTTTACCAGATGATTATTAGGTGGAAGCTCTACACCGGAAGAAGCAGAGACGACGGTCATCTATGAAAACCTAGAATACATAGATGCCGGGGAAGAGAGACATGGAACCATCCGGACGAGTGCCGCTTTTATCAGGGAATTCAGCAGACGGCTCCAAATGAGCACTAATGATAACGTGGGAACCGTGGTAAAAACGGTACCATTAAAAAACCTCTCATGCACACTGTTTAAAAGTAAACAGGTGTGCTCAATCTAAGTATACGCTATCTCCGGTGCGCAGACCGGTTTAGAATCCACCACTTTGACTCACGCTATGACGATAAAGCGGATAATTCGATGGCCCCAACATATTGTTCAAGAAGTCTTTCTAAACAGTTAGATCACCGTGGACGAATGCCGGTCCAAATACACCTCTACAATGTATCGTAAAGACGCCAAACGAAAGGTAAGTGAATCGCCACTATCTTCCAGCAAGGGTGGAACAGTGACGAGTCAAGGTTCCCTATATCGCTTGAAAGATATCAAGTTTGTGTCAACACTAATCGACACCGATATGACTGGAAGTAACGACCCAGGTGGTGATCAGCCGAGAAGGATAAGAAATAGAGAAATCACATGTTAACTGCCCTGTTCCCGGAGATGTTACGTTCAATACGGTAGACTTGAGTGGAAGTTGACAGATCATCATTTCAGTCATGGTTTCAATTCACGTGATTTTCGTGAACCAGTGCTTCCCATGAGCTGCAGCAACATCCAGCCATTACCGGTGGCACCGCCATTCCAAACTGCACGGGCTCTCGCCACCCTCAAACGCTTGCGGACAGTAGTTTCAGAAGACTGCAGACGCTCTGAAACTGGAAATCATGATGAATACTCCTTTTCGCTTCAAGTAAAGTAACAGATGCAGCAGAGATCCGTTCACCATTCCAACGATTTAAGCTAGGGATGTAACAACATCCCTAACAATGTGATGTTCTAACGCCAATTGTCAGCGAAGCTGTGCAAGTGTTTCGGACTACCGCTTGGTGCCACGAGTAGAACGTAGCAAGCCCCAGTGTAGAGGTCAATTTTCATGTAAGAGGTGGTTTTTGCACTTATAGGAATGTCACGGTGTAGTGAATGATATGGCTTTAACAGTAGGTTACAATGCACCATATGCCATAAAATTCTGTCTCAGGCCGGAAGCATATCATGGAGTGAGAAAAGGACCGCTTTTCCATGCCGGTGCTATAATTACACTTTCAATAAGAGCTCTCAGAATCGTTGGACGTTAAGCATGGAAGATAAAGCGGCCAAAAACTGAATACTCTTACCGCGATTCCAACATGGAAGTATAGGTGTGAAGATCTTGCAGATAAAGAGCCGCAACCAACTTCGTCACACTCCGGACCAAAAGAATGAACACCTGATCCAACGGGCCTTTCTCAGATAATTCCTAAACAGAATAGGAGGAAATTATGGAAACAAGAGGAATGAAAATAAAGGCGTGTCAAGAATAGCGGAAGTGTGCACCGGAATTGGAGCGGGGGGGGGGGAACAGAGAAAATGTGATATAAAAAGTGTACAAACAAGAACGGCAGCAAAAGGAACGCCCCAAATATGGAGGTAAATTCTGAAAACAGTCAAGATTCGGTGGGAAATGGGGAATAACTTGTGCTGAAGCTACAAGACGAGAAAGTCGCAGTGGTCAAATTGTGACTCGTGTTTCATTCCTGTTCGAATTAGTTCACCACAGTAGCACGTGGTTCCACAGCTCGTGAGGTTATCCAATTGAACAATCAGTCTAAAGTGGTGCTCCGGAAGGAGAAACGAACACAAGGTTACACATACCTGGGAAACAAATTAATGTGGAAATATGGACCAAATTAAGATAATAGATCTGATGATCAGCTGTGTCACACGTTACAAGGAGTAGTAGAATTGGGAAGGAGAAGAACGCAACAGTTGTGAATAAAGTTAGAAAATACCAGCAATAAGTCATGAACCTTGCCTCAGCTCTGGTTTAGTAGGTGTACAGTACGTCTGATGGAAGAGGGCCGATGAACGTTTTGCCACGACCTTCCGCGCTCAGAATTCAGGGCGAGGTTAGCTGACAGCTAGTGATCGCCGGACAGTGTCATGTGGCTGTCTTTAGTTGTCTCGCTCGAACTGCCGGCGTGCCGGCCTATACCTCACCAGTTTTACGTTTGCACTCAGCTGATGCCTAAACTAAACCACTTGTATGAGGAGGATGCTATATGTCCTCACCACTAAGGTTAGAGAGAAATTAATGTGTCTGCACTCGCGCACCCACGCCATTCCGCTAAGCATTTGATGGCGGGGACAACTATCGTAAATGACCGGCATTCACCATTAGCGAGCCGCGGTCGGTTCGTGAACCGCCCTTCACATTCCGGAATGCGTTCATCGGCCCTCTTCCATCGGACGTACTGTAGAGTTGTTACGGATGTGAATCACGATTGCAACGTCATAACCTTTCGTGGTTGACGTGAAACTCGACATTCAACATAGCACTCCAATAGAATGAACACGCCAGCAGCGTTTAACAAAGAATCTGGCGTGATGTTGCCAGCTAGCCAGGGTTTGTTGCTCGAAGGTCACTTGTTTTCCGTCAGTGTAGTTAGATCAACATTGGTGCGCGTTCGATCTAAAGGTCATCAGGTGCTATGTCGCATGTAGCCTCTCTTAAGGGAATCCGTGATGTTCGGGGTCAACCCAGTTCTCTGTAATGTTCGTGGAGGGTAAATCGCAATATACCGCAGTCAGCTCGGAAGTCATGATGGCCTGCCGTTCTCCCTGATGCTTTAGTGACATAAGTTGTTGGCCGATGATGCAAGCCACTAGCGGCCATGAGTTCGGATTCTCATGGAGTCGAGAAAATCGAGTCCCGATAGGATCAAACGGCCGTCAAGTGCATTTCTCGGTACTTGGGGGACTAACTTAATTGGAACCTGTTCTGAAGATCTAGCAGTTATCTATATAAAAAAATCCCTCACTGATGAGCAACGAAATTCTGCAGTCCGTCTCTTAAGCAGATAGTGACGCTACATCAGTGTCACACGTGACAGAGGGGATCTCAAGGGCTCTAGTAAATTAACTAGTCTTTACCGATAATGACGCCAGGTAAGCATCAGGCCGGAAGGCCAAGGAGGCCAATTTAGCTAAATGAACCGTAGCATTGGATCCAACGGATACAACTGGGAGGCTCAGTAACTGCATAGCAGAAGGAATGAAATCGAATGGAGAAGCTGCAGCGTGCTTCAGTTCAGACAATGCCCACATTTTAGCAAGATGAGAGGGTGCATAACTGCATCCGCTATACAAAGGAGCTGGGTGGAAATACGGAAAGTCGATGACTATAGTCCTTTATTGAGGCAGGCCCATGGTCACTCAACTTAATATGGTTTATCAGCCGTTGCAATCGTCGGAATTCAGACCTAGCATGAAGCTAGTGTATTGGCTTCTTCCCTTCAGCTGGGTGAACTATGTGAAATTCATCACATCTATTTGTGTTCTCCCTTTCAGGAAACTGTACCACAATTAGGTTGATGTGGTCCCGTACAGAGTATTGCTAATTGTCGTGATATGCACTTCTTCCGAAGATCGTAGATTTGATGAACCAAATGCTGCCCCTCTTGTCAAATAAGTGATGTAGCGCTGCTTTCAATAGCAAAGGATAGAAAGATCCCTAGAAAAAAGCCTAGTGGATGGACTGTGCTGTACCAGACGAAGAGGTGTAGGGAAATGATAACCGGTGTTAGTGTTCTGTAACCGAGGTTGACAATGTGACAAAGTATCTTTGTGACAATATCGGACCCATTGCGCATTCGCTAAAGATATGCTGCAGTTAAGCCCCAACTCCATGTGGCTGCAGTGAGGGCGATCCGAATTATGTTGGCGTCCGAAAACGTAGCATGCACCATTCCAACACGAACCACCTTTTTACAGAATGTGTGTTGGATTCGCATATCTATGGAGCGACGATACGAAGACCTAGTAGTGTGGACGGATGGGCGGTTTACAGTGGGGTCTTAGTGGGTTCTAAGGTAAGTGCTGCAGCTATCTACAAGCAATGATATCGATTGTCTCTGGATCTACACATAAGAAAGAGAATGAGTCGATGGAGGCATTATCCGTGACCTAGTGTGATCGGGTTGTAGTCCTCGACTGGGTCAAAGGCACCCCTCGGAATTAGATCCTGTTACAGGCAAATATAACAGCGGGCAAAGCTACCATCGTTCAGTTAATCAGAATCCTAGATCACTTACAGTCGGTTTTCAATGAAGCCAAGTACAAAAACACGACGTTGGCAATTCAGAGGAAAATGGTGTACAATGGGAAGTGGTCATTCATACTGCACATAAAGATGGCTCAAAAATGAGTTAAAGCGGAGAGGATCTACTATCTTTGGCTACACCGGAACGCGACCAGATTGGGTGGAAGTGCCCACCTTAATCGCATATACAAATGGCCTCAGAAATGAAACAAAGCGGTGATGGTTTGCATGCTTTTAAGACACACTAGCACACCGCCAGGTGGGCTTGGGAGTGTGGGCAAACTCTGAATGGAAGCAGGACTCCAGGAGAGGGTTTCATGAATGGCCGTGTTACTTTATTTGAAATATGACTATTTCCTTTTCTCCTTGCTTTATTTTATTTTATTTGTTCCATTCTGTGGTTATAATTACGCATCATCATGAAATCGAGAATATGCATTATGATTAATGTCATCCTCACTCATATCCGCGGACTGTACAACGACAACTAATAAGAAATTGGAGGAGACCAATTGTAAAAACAAAATGTCGAGGAAGAGTACTATATCGCATACAAGTGAGAATAAGGAAATGTGTTTGTTGAATAGTTGTTTTATACCAGTCACAGTTCAAAGAGCCCGCTACGGTAACTGAAAACAGTCACAGGACGCTAGTGGCTACAGTGAGGTAACATGTGGTACATTATGACCCTCAGTACACCTTCCCCATGGTAAGCACAGATCCAAGGAGAAAGGGTTAGAGGCGGCAAGAATAATCGTCTGTGATGTGGACCGCATTCTTCCAACACCAATGTGACCGATGAGTAGGTAAAGTAGCGTAATAGCATCCACAGGGTATGGAGGGGGTCCGGAAATGCAGTTGCAACGTGCACCACATCGGTGCACGCGCTTTTGTGGGTAGGTGAGTAGGGTGGAATATGGATCTACTAGCCACGCGATCGTGTAGTTAGAGGAAATGCGTACCAGGTTTTCACAAGAAAGTGGTCGTGATATAGCTCGCTCTATAATGGAGGCACCTTTAAGCTAGGCACCAAGAAAAAGACGAGCAGCAATCCGCACGGAATTGGCAATCGAAACGACGGAATCGCAGAAGTAGACTACCTTTCAAAAAATGCGTCGAACCCAGCTAAATATGGCAGCAGAATAAGAAAAAGTTTAACACTGGGTAAGATGGTGACACAATGTGATGAATTCCAATCGCGGTGATGCACGCAAGCGCCAGTAAAAGCCAGTTGAATGGACAGTATAGCTCGTTATTCAAACCACATATTAACAGCAGTCAGAAAACGAGTGTTGCAAGAGTAGGCAGAATTTAATGTCCTGAAGGGCAAAGTTGATCAATAAAATGAGAAAACAGCTTCAGGTAGAATGCAAATGGAAAGTGTAAATGAGAAAGCGGAAAACTAGATTAGCGTTTGAATGTAATAAGGGTTTGAGATCAATGTGTGCGGGTATGAAAACTAGGATATTAATATGACAAAAGGAGAATGTGGTTAAGCAAAACTGCGAATTTAAGCGTACCCGGACTTCCTCTAGTGCTAGGATACAGCAGTGAAGACAGTCGACTTTTTCCGACTCTTCTTGAAGTTGAGCGACTCTTAGTACACTGTCCCACCAAAAGTCATCCCCGAGAACATTCCTTCGATGAGATTTATTCGTCATAAGCAGACGCAGGAATCCGTCCGGACGTGGGTCCGATTTGTTTGTAGTAACAGTGACGGATTGTTCTGCGCACAATATTGTCTCTGCGATGAAGTCAAATAGGTTGGCCCGGGTTAGTTGATCGTCTAATTTCGATGCGAGACGTTGAAGGCAAACGCTACGCACTGCATCTGAGCGTAGCTCCACGTATTCCATCAAGTCGATATCAGAGTACTGGGAGATGAAGGAGATGAGGAATTTCGTCAGGGGTATGTTTGGGTAGGGGAACAAGAGGTAAGACAAACAGCCCCATGATCATCATTATACATGTTAGCTGCAGGTGGGAAATACTTCAGCAATACAAAAGACAAGAAAAGGCAAACAAACAGTGGCACACCCGCTGAGCTCCCAGTAACGGATGGATATTGTTCCGGAGACCTAACAGCTGGCTGCCGTAAAAGAAAGTCATATTATGCTTAACTAGTGAGATCGTGATTGGAGTGGGAGGCTAAGCAGAAGGGGGATGGACAAAGGAACTCACAACACAAACGCCATTGGTGCCGGCTCCGAGCCATATCAGCAAGTGTGTCCAACCAAACGTGTTCACCGTCCTTAAGACCCCAGCCAGGCAGTCGGGATACACCAATCGACGCCAACTTCGAAGTGAGGGTTTTCATTCCTCTCGACCAAGTCATCACTTGGCCTCCCCTCCTCCTCTTCCAACCGCACCCACACCGCGCAAACAATGCACGTCGCGGAAGGCGGGGTGCTTGCATGCGCAACACGTGGCCCAACCATCGGAGCCTAGTGCGTGATATAATGGTGCTATGCGGTTCACTCGCTCTTCCTGCACCAAATATGCGACGCCGAAGACGCTCATTGCTCACGCAGTGCTCCCACCAGACATGAGCTAAGCTGCGAAGGCAGCGATGATCGAATATGACGAGCCTCTTAATGTCTGTCGACCTGATGGGCCAGGTTTCACAACCATCTAGGAGAGTTGAACGGACGGCTGCGTTGTAAACTCTGCCCTTCAGGGCGAGAGTAATGTCGCGTCTGCACCACAGGTGGCGGAGATTGGCAAAAGCACATCGAGCTCTTGCTATACGGTTTGTAACCTCATCTTCAATCCCACGGGTGCTAATATGGATGCCCAGGTACTTGAATTCCTGAACGACTTCTAGCAGATCACCACAAAGCGTTAGCGCAGGGTTGGGTCCTTGCCAATCTTGGAGAAGTACTTTGCATTTCGATGGAGCAGAGCATAGCCCAAAACTACTGACAGCCAGTGGTAATCGGTCCAGTGCTGCTTGGCATGTTTGGGAGAAGACAAACAGACACAAGTAGATGCAAAAGAAAATACGCAAGAAATGCGATCATTGTTGTCGTCACCAACAATAGTCACGCCCTACTCATGTTATGCCAGTGTCAGCCGCGCGTCGCCCCATTCACTTGCAGACGAATGGCTTGGGAGAGACAGAGCAGTCACCAGTTCTTCGCTACTAAACAGAAGATGAGGTAGTCGACTTGATGCCTGGTCAGTTTCGTTCCCATGAGTGAGGACACAAAGACGAGGAATGCTAATGACGCGAAACGATGGAGGAAATTTCTTGGGATTAAGAGCAGTGTAGGAGATGTGTGCACCAGTATTTTGAAACGAAAATGATGAAAGCTCAGCATCTGAAAAAGCATACGTTCCCCTTTGATTTCTGTTTTTTTACGAGCTTATGGTTAGTACTTAGACCGTTGCAATTATACATATATCTTTTTAACCTAGACAAAAAGTATTCCATTTTATTTGAGCTCCTCGGTTCTGTTATTCGGCTGCATTTTCCAAATCAATTGCGCATGGTTATTTTCCTCCAAAGTATGTGTTGGTTGTTTGATATCACTGGTGTGGCTGCGCTTGATGTGCATGTTGACAGGGTGCCTATCGGTCCTAACATCTACCACCTCGGTTACTGACTCCAGGAGAATGCTAATCTTTGCTGGGCGGACGGGGTGCACGGTTCTCGTGACCATGCTAAGCTCAGAGTGGTTCCCACTAATATAGAGCGGACTACGGCAAAACCACCGCTTTGTGTACGCCTGGTACGAACGGTCCCCAAATTTGATAGACAAAAATGCTGCTGCTATGCATGTTGAAGAAGTGTGGGTCGGCGCCGTTGACCCCCATCCACATGCCTCCCGGTCTTATTCCCTCGGGTGTACACAGGATATGGGTTGTCGGTGCAGCACATACCACACATGGCTATATATATATATATATATATAAATATATATATATATATCGCCGCCTATTTTCTGCATGCATGTGGTCTTTCTGCCGCACTTCGGTAACTGCCTTCGTGATCAGATGGTGCCACGCACGCCGATCAACCGCTTGCGATTCCCATGACCTGCAATCAAGATTAGAACGTGAGAGGCTCACTTTGATCATATCCTGGTAACGTAAATTTGGTTTCCAGCGCATGCCGCTTCCCAATACTCAGCAGACCATATAAGAGTTGTTTCGGTATCCGCGTCGAATCCATATGCCCCACATGACCGAGCCACCTCAGGTGTCGCAGCAAAAGTATGCATTCCACTGTATACAGTCCACTTCGACGCAACACCTCAGTGTCCGCAACTGTCGCAGCAAACAATGCGCAGAATCAGCCGCAAACACTGTTGATGCAACCTCTAGAGATATCGCACATCCCGCCGGTGCATCGTTCACGTTTCACTGCCGTATAGAAGAACGGACAGCACCATGGATTAGTACACCGTTAGTTTCGTGCCAATGGTAAGCTGATGGTTGTTCTACACTCGGTAATCTAGCTCCCCGAATGCCGCCGCTGCCTTCGATACGCGGATAGGCAGCTCACTGTATAGCTGCTGGTCAGTCGACATCACACTCCCAAGGTAGCAGAAGCGGGAGGTGGTTTCCAATACTTCCGCACTAATGCTGATTTTCGGCAATATTGAAGATTGCTCCTCCGGTGAAGGCGGTAAGAGACAGACAGTTTTGCTTGTGTTGATAGTGAGCCCGAATTTGACCGCTGTCGAAGCCAAAGCACTAGTCATGTGTTGCAACTCATCCGCGCTATGTGCAAACAACGCACAGTGCTTAGTACGCACAGCAACGTACGGATAGTTGTCTCACAGATTAGGGTTCTCGCACCGAAACGATAGATATTCAGCAACCCACCACCAATACGGTGCTCCACACAAACACCGTAGGCACAAGTGGCATCAAAAGCACAATACATCATGGAATGAAGACATATATTAAACAGGGCAAGAGCTAAGACACAGCTTTGCGTCACACCAGTAACAAATGCAAAGTCATCCGAGGTCTGTGCACTCAGTTGCACCCACGCCCGCATACCACTGTGCAGATATTCAATTAAACTTACAAATTTACTCGGACAACCATTCTTACTCAACACCATCCACAATGCCACGCTGGTCACTGTATCAAAAGCTTTAGTGAAATCAAAAAAAAGTGAGTACAACGGCTGGTGTCGTTCGCAGTAGTTCTCCTGCAACTGACGAGCAGCAAACACCATATCTATAGTGATGCGACCAGAAAGGAATATATATATATATATATATATATATATATATATATATATATATATATATATATATATATATATATATATATATATATATATATATATATATATATATATATATGGTTAGCGGCATCCGGTTTCGGATTTGCCTGTCACTGTGGCAAGCCACAGGACGCCTGCGCCTACAGAGGGACCATGGATGGCTTGCGCTGCACCACCCACAGCTCCAACCACACACCCCATATCCAGTGTAAACCCGAAGGAATAAGACCGGGAGGCATGTGGATGGGAGCCACGTTTCATCAACGGAGCCGGCCCACACTCCTTCACAGGCAAACACAAGCACGCTGTATTTGGGGAATCAAACCACACATAAGGCGGTGGCTGGACCGTGGTCCGCTCCACACTGAGTGCATGGAACCGCTCTTTGAGCCTAGCACGGCCACAAGAACCGTGCACCCCGTCCCCTCCAGCAACGACCAACTGTCTCCTGGAGCCAGTAGGAACGATGTAGTGGGTAATAGACAGGTAGGCACCTTGTCAACATACACATCAAGCGCAACCATACCAGGGATATCAAACAATAGCCATTCACATTAAACGACAAGCTGAAATAAAATACATCCAATAATGCATACAGAAACGGTGGCATAACTCTTCGCTAAATTACCATACGAAGTAATTTGGTTAGCAACAAATCCGTGATAAGAAATGTCCACAAGTTACTTAAAATGCTACAAACGCGACAAAATTACCGAAGATAAGCGCAATTAGTGTAAGCAACATGGCCAGTTAATAGAACATTATTCAGGGAGGCAGAACAAACCAAATAAAGCAGAATGAAATTTATCCAGCTTAAAAAGACCTAGTGTAAGTGTAAGTTGGTTTAGCCCAACTGTGGTGAAGAAGCATCAAGAATGCAACATCAGCCTCAGCATGGGGCACACATACATACATGGTTGGCGGCATCCGGTTTCGGATTTGCCTGTCACTGTGGCAAGCCACAGGACGCCTGCGCCTACAGAGGGACCATGGATGGCTTGCGCTGCACCACCCACAGCTCCAACCACATACCCCATATCCAGTGTAAACCCGAAGGAATAAGACCGGGAGGCATGCGGATGGGAACCACGTTTCATCAACGGAGACGGCCCACACTCCTTCACAGGCAAACACAAGCACGCTGTATTTGGGGAATCAAACGCACACAAGGCGGTGGCTGGACCGTAGTCCGCTCCACACTGAGTGCATGGAACCGCTCTTTGAGCCTAGCACGGCCACAAGAACCGTGCACCCCGTCCCCTCCAGCAACGACCAACTGTCTCCTGGAGCCAGTAGGAACGATGTAGTGGGTAATAGACAGGTAGGCACCTTGTCAACATACACATCAAGCGCAACCATACCAGAGATATCAAACAATAGCCATTCACTTTAAACGACAAGCTGAAATAAAATACATCCAATAATGCATACAGATACGGTGGCATAACTCTTCGCTAAATTACCATACGAAGTAATTTGGTTAGCAACAAATCCGTGATAAGAAATGTCCACAAGTTACTTAAAATGCTACAAACGCAACAAAATTACCGAAGCTAAGCGCAATTAGTGTAAGCGACGTGGTCAGTTAATAGAACATTATTCAGGGAGGCAGAACAAACCAAATAAAGCAGAATGAAATTTATCCAGCTTAAATGGCATCCGCTTTCGGATTTGCCTGTCACTGTGGCCAGCAACAGGACGCCTGCGCTTTCATAGGGACCATGGGTGGCTTGCGCTGCACCACCCACAGTTCCATCCATACACCCCATATCGGGTGTAAATCCGAAGGAATAAGACCGAGAGACATGTGGATGGGAACCACGTTTCATCAACGGAGCCGGCCCACACTTCTTCACAGGCAAACACAAACACGCTGTGTTTGGGGAATCAACCGCACACAAGGAGGTAGCTGGACCGTGGTCTGCTCCACACTGAGTGCATGGAACCACTCTTGGAGCCTAACACGACCACAAAGCCCGTGCACCCCGTCCCCTCCAGCAACGACCAACTGTCTCCTAGAGCGAGTATGGACGAGGTAGTGGGTAATAGACAGGTAGGCACCTTGTCAACATGTACATCAAGCACAGCCTCACGAGGGATACCAAGCAACAGCCAATCACTTGAAATGACATTATCAAATAAAATATATCTGTTAAAGTATATGGTTAAACAGACAACTCTTCCCTAAATTAGGATATGAAGTAGCTTAGTTAGCGACGAATCCGGGATAAGTACAAAATGTTCATAAGTTACTCAAGAAATAATACGAACACAATAAAGTAAAGGAAGATAATCACTATTAGCGTAAGCAACATGGTCAGTTAATAGAAGAAGAACAAACCAAGTAAAGTGGAATGAAATGTATTCAGCTTAACATGGCCTAGTACAAGTGCAAGTTGGTTTAGCCCAACTGCGGTGAAGAAGCATCAAGAATGCAACATCACCTTCAGCATGGGGCATATATATATATATATATATATATATATATATATATATATATATATATATATGGCAATTGCGATGAGTGAGGTAGAACGAAAAGGGAGGAAACCGAAAAAGCAAAGACCGAGGTAGACTACCACACAAATAGAATGGAAAACCACTGGACACATCAAAACACGTAGCCAACGGCATATGTCAGCATGAAATTGTTGCATGTGGGTCGATTTCTTTGGTAACCACATCTATCTCTGAATCGCGTTTAGTGCAGTGAACAGAATGAAAATAGACAAACGAGAAAACTCGCGGTTATACTAGAAACCAAATGCATGAAAACGGGCCAGATTTGATTATTTAAATAATACACCGGTTAAGTGAATACATATGTGTGGGCTGATTGAGGAAAACAGGTGGTACAACGTGAAAAACACAAGACATGATTTAGATCGGTGCACCTTTGAGTGATCAAAAACGTGGATTGGATGAGCAAGAGGGTGATCAGGGATGGCAGGGTTGTAAAAGTGGCTTACCTGAATGAGCCACTTTAAGATGGACACCGCTGCACGACCCAACCACACGTTGTACGGATAGTGAAGGTAGGAGAATAGTGTCACCAAGTAGTGTTCCTGAGTAGATGGATTTGTGCGCCGTTTGAGAGCGTTAATGAAAGGCATAGAGCGGGATGTCGAAGAAGCCTGTGGTACGATCTGAGTGCACTCTAGACTGAGTAATCGGTGAACCAAACACAATGCAAGCCAAACAATACGACCAAAGCGTCCTTTGGATGAGTGGGGTCGAGTTGCAGATGGATAGGACAAGGGGAGTGAGAGGCTTGAGAAAGAAAATGAGGACCATAAGTAGGACTTTTCCCAGAGAAGCCAGCGCTCAGGAGAACAGTCCGAAAAAAACGATTAAAATTCGCATGACACGTCATTAGTATATGGAATGCTAGATTGAACAGACTCCCGTTAAAGCGGTTGATTAGTGATACGGTTGGAGTAACATAAGTATGTAAAAGAGGAGTTGGAAGACAGTGGCCAATAATCAAATGCACAGTGGATCTGCGAAACTCATAAGAAGAACAGTTTCATTTAAAAAGACAAAGAATCAGACTGATGTGTATGCACAAAGTGAAATGAAGGGCACCGAGCAGCTCTGAAAGCAGCGAGAAACCGGAAAGTCCATTGACATGGATAATGTAGGGCCGTCAGTGCATGCATACTGACGAGGCTCCTCGATAACAATAAGCAAAGAGCGAGGAGTACGTGTAGTACAGGAAAGTGCCTAGTGACACGAAACAATGCTTGCAACAAGTTATCGCAATAAAACTGCAACGTTATGGCTAAAGGTAAAACGGTAATGACAGACAACGAAAATGTTGTAGGAATAAAGCGCACGAGGGTTTGGTGACGCAAGACATTGTCAAAGTGAGTCTAGGAAGCAAACTGCCCAGTATCGCTTGGACGGAAACAACAATTGGTCGCGATCCAAGCGTTCATTGGGATGACAAACATCTCGATGGTTGTGAAGAATAGTGAGCAAAATCGGCAACGACAGGATTTCTTGTCGCAAGTCAAGTGAACCAACCACTAGTTGGTTGGCGGAGCTGTATGCTACCGAGCGCGTCCCCAGATTGCAGATCGGGGAACGCATTCCTTGCGAAGGTAACTGTGAACAAGTCTCGGATGTTCGCAGGCGAGATGAATAAGCATTCGAAGAAAATCAGCAGCAGCGTCCTAGAGCGTGGGGGTTCGGGGCTGTTCACCTGGTTCATCGTTATATACTAGAAGAGCTCGTAAGAGGTTGTAACAAAGTCAGTGTGACCGGCCATACGTTCACAGTCCATCCATTTCTGAGACTAGAACTGAGTATCCAACGGAGGACGGAAGAACAACCTCGATGAGCACCGGCTTCTATGAAGGCGTATGAGCCGCCTGGCTATCAACGGTCTTCCTGCTCGCCAACGAGTTCGGTAGTTCAGGAAATTTCTCTTGGCCTTCGTGCAGCCTCATTCGGACTTTTGAATAGTTTGTTCCTACTCGAAAACTGTGTTGTCCTCATCATCGCGCTGCGTTTTGGTGGCTCCAGCAAGGCTGCCGGAAACGGAATGATGTGGCTAAGCTTTCCGCTCCGAAGGTTCTTCGCGCAACCAAGATGTGTTGGCCTCAAGGCCGAAGACCGCTTCATGCAGACATTAAAACGTACTGGACACATCCGCATCGCCATGTATAACTCTGCAACCCTAGTCTGTAGCTTCAACAATAGTTTTGTAAATAATTGAATCTTTACGCGATCTCTCCAACTTCTCGAGGTCTGTCGAGCAATTCCTGCTGGTGTTGAATACCACACATTACACAGGACTACCAACGCTGAGTTCAAACAGTTCCCCGGGAGGATCGCGAAGCCTGGTGGACGCAGCGAGTCACTGAAGGAGCAAGTGGTCACTTCTGGGAATTGTTGTAAACTTTTCCTCCTGACCCGATCCAATGGTGGTAAAAGGCCGACTGTAAGCGAAGTTTTATGCGAAACCGATGACGAGCCAATTATTGTCAAAAACGCCGACTTGAGCGTTAAGCCGAGCATTTCGAGCAGCAGTTTACTTGATCAGCATCACCGATTAGTTCCCATTCTGGAATCCAGAGCGCTCCCTAGTGTGTAGACACTTCACTAACGTCTGAAGCTGAGGTTACCCACGAGTTTCGCCTCTTAGGGCACTACAAAGCCCTTGACAAAGACGAACTCCTTCTGGCTCTTTTCAAAGATGAAGGCCCATCCTTAGTTCTGGAGTTAAGTTCCCCTCCTCCAAGAGATCTAGGTCACCAAAGTTATCCCATCTGTTCGGAGCCTAGCGGATATCATGCCCGTCATAAAATAGAGTACCCGGACTGACTGCGCTAACCACGACGGATTAGTATCATCAATGGCAGTTCCAAGGCGTTTGCCGCTCTGCTTTTAAGGAGGCTCAGCGTGGTACGCGAACAGAGCATAGATGAAGAGCAAGTTGGGTTCTGCTCAGGTCGGAGTTGCATTGATCACATCTTTACATTTCGCAAAATACTATCGTTATCTTCTTAGACATACGAGCCGCGTTTCACGCAGCTGACTGAGCTGCGCTCTGAAGCTGTCTATTGAGGAGAACAGTATCTGGGAAATACGTCAACATTCTTCGAGTCATCTATTCTCGAATCACGGGGAGAGTGCAGGTGTGCGGCGGACTTTCGCACCCCCCCCCTAGTATCATCAATTGCGTGAGACAGGGCTGCTCAGCATCCCTCTTCTTGTTTAATTTCGTAATGGACGATATCCTAGAGTGCTATGGACAACTGAAAACTCAACTGCGTTGAACAGCTTCCATAACTTCTCGTGAGGAAGACGCTGAGATCCAATCCGTCTAGTCTCCAGCAATTGAGCTAGCAGTTAAGAGGGGCCCTGAAAGCATTTTAGACGCATCACCTAGTGTAATTCAAGGAAGCATGGAGGAAAGTAAGCCACTGTAGTACCATGATGTTCAATGCAGTAGTTGCTACGAAAGCAAGCCTCGCATCCGATACCGACTAGGTTGCCAGTCATTAACTTGATTACAAACGTTCCATCATCATTCGAGGGAACACAACCAGCGGTCTAACCTTCAGTGACAAGACAATAAATCAAGCTCCGCGAGCAGATTAGCACACGAGCAATCGAAATGAATGGTTAGCATTAATAAAGGGATTGGGAATTCAAAAGCTCCTATCGCAAGCGGAAGCAAACTGCACAAAAATAAACATACTAGTCTACTAACAGTTAGGAGTGCTTATTTTCAGTAGCACCCGCCACTGCGAGTGCGAAAAGCCACAAGATGCTTGCAACGACAGTATGATAACCAGTGCACATCCAGTCTAGATCCGAGGGCTTAAGAATGGGAGACAAATAAGTGGGAGCTGGGGGTGATTTGAAGCTAGTTTGTACTCCATCAGCACTTTTATGAATGATGGAAATACGTGCGGTGGCTGATCATCGCCAATTCAATGACGGAACCAGTTCTTGAGATTAGCGTTGTCACGAGGACCGTGTAACACACCTGTCCCAGCGATGAAGTTCGATCTCCTAGAAGCAGCAATCGAGGTAACGCTAGCGAACAATTTGTCAAAACTCGCATCGCGTACAGCTAGGTCCGAGAATACACGTCAACATATGTTCACTAGAGCAACTGTAGTCTAACTGCGGTGACGGCGCAACGAACATCCACGTTGAAAACTGCAGAATCAGTATGACGTCAATTACAGAGGGAAATGCGTACCCGTGACCAGGTGACTGATACTGAGTGAGAAGGGATCGCAGAGGAATAGAAGAACAGACCAAAAGACTTTCAACGGCCTTCGAATTGTTGAGTAAGAGGTGAAGAGCCAATTTCTGAAGTCGGGTGATCGCATCCATTGTAGAAGCGGGCTGGTTAGCTGGTTCATCGCCACAGAAAGTGATAACATTCAGCGTATTTTCGGGTGCGTTGGTTGAGGATTGGTGCTCCGGAACGCTGGAGGTGAGCACGTCGGTCAACAGGGTGAGACAGCGCTCGGCTATAGGAAAAAGTCGAAAGAGACGCACCACATAAACCGAATGCCCAAGGAGCTATAGGGGGAAATGCTTTTAATAATGAGGCGGAAATTCAATGAAGGGAATGAAACCAATCAACAGCGAACGTGGTAATTTCGTAACTAATGATAATGAACAAAGAAACCGCAGCCTTTCGATTTAACTTCTGTGTACTACACTGTGAGTTTGGATTTTTAAATTTCAGCACCATCGCCATAAGAGATCTGGTAACTAACACTACCTCTAGTGTAGTGAACTTACATACTGTAGGAAGTAATTGTGAATGCATAGGTGTCAGCAGTATGCAGGAGCACCGAACCTACGGTTCTTTTTCACACGACCATCACTGAACCGCGAGATCACCTGCGCCCATGTAAGCTCGACCCAGTGACCTGTGGATTACAAGTCAGATGTCTAAACCACCCCGCCGATGACTGTGTTCTCCAAACGGTGATATCCAGTCCTAATTGGTTCGTATTCACATTTTACAGATCAATGCTTTAGAACTTAAGGCTGTGAGCGGCGCCCCCTAGGCCATTTCCGCGACACGGATAACCACGACGCTCGAAGCTACATAATCCATGCGCAAATGTTCCAGAGAAAACTCGCCCCTTAACTTTTTCTAGAAAAAGCGGTACTCTCGGTCGAAATGCCGGCGACAGGCCTGCTAAACAGTTCACCAGTGCAGCACAGACCAAGCAAATTATTCCAAATTTAGTCAAAGTATGGTGGATCAAGTTGCCACGGTTCGTGTCGCTAGGATAAAAAGCAGTAATAGTGGTGAGAAAACGAGGTTGGAAATATCAGGATGTAAATAAAAGAAGGCTGCAGAAGGGCGTAACCCAAATCGGGATGCAATACTGACAGCCAGATGAAAGAAACCGAATGCAGGAGTGTCCCTGACTGTGCAACTGCGCCTGGTTCGATACTTTCCAAACACTGATGTGAACCATCCCGAGACCACCATTCCGCTTGACCAAGTACATCCATCAATTATTCCATGCTTCTATGTCACATCATTAATTGGTCACTTCGCGATTTCGTTCAACTACGTACAGCGACAACAAACAATATACACATCGAGGAAGCCGATCAACACGCCTGGGGAGGACATGACCTAGCCAAGTTCAACAGATACTCCAGAGTTAGTTGTGAAACACCAACCGATGGACCCTGGTATTGTTAATCAGGTGTTTCCACCAGATGAGAGCAATAATTCGAAAACACTGCAATGGAATCGTGCTGAGCCTATCCATCGCGAGGCGACTAGACAACGTGATGTGGCGGCTTGTGCATCTCAGCGAGCCATTAAGCTACGTTGGACGGTACTTCTCAGGCAACAGCAGAGTCACTCATGATAGACAAGATCGATAATTAGTCTCTGCATCTTCTTCAAAGATTGGGAAGAGGCGAGAGGCGACAGACTACGGATTATAAGTTCAGCTTCATTGGCACAAGAAAGTAGTGCCATGAATAGTCCCTGATGCTCGGAGATCATCACTCGTGCTGCCAACCGTCGCAAGCCAGGAAACTTTGGATAAAAGCAATCAAACTGAAAAACTCCCACTTGCAGTGCGTCGTAGTCGCAGAGGTGCAGTCTACTACGATGAAAAAACATACGTAAATTTCTTAAATTCTCGAAGGCTGAGCGTGACGGACATCAAACGGATCCGAACGGGATTGCGCAATCACACTTCGGATCAAAACCTGCTTTCCACAACCACGAGAGTCAGGCTGTTGAGCCAAAGGCTAAGGGTGACATCCCACAGACAAACCCATTTACTTTCTGCGTCAATGACAAAGGTTTCGGGTAAAGTTTCTCAAGCAAACCCTCATTTACTCCAATGCTTTGTCGAAATAAAGATTAAGGACGACTCCAAGAGCAACCTCTCTCCCTCTCAATCGGAATTGGCATCCAGAGATTACAAGCTGCCCTCCAAAAACCCGCAACCAATACTCTTTCCTCAAGCTGTATGTACAACCTCTTAATGCTTGGTAATCACTCTCCGCTCCGCGACCTCAACACCATGTCGTCTTAGATGGAAGTTTTAGTCACATGGATTGGTAGTTCGGGTCCAAGTGTGCAGCACCCAACTTTGTCAGCAGACCTACGTTAGCGTCCCGTTCCCAGTTCAAGTTAGCTACCTCATTGTTCAGAGACGAATGCAAATAGGAGTACGAGTAGCCCTTGCATGTACTCTAGAAACCCGCAGTATTGATGTTCGTAGACTCAGTGGGACCGGTATACAGGAATGCATCGCGAAACAGAGACAGAGATAGTGAAATTTCGCGAGTGTCTAACTGACTCTGCCAGAGCAAAACACAAGGTCGTATAGACACAAATTCATGGCACAATTATTTCACCACGTTGAGTATCGCTTCAGTTAGACTGTAAATGACAGGTCATTTGCTGTATTTCTGAGGCATCTGCAATGGGACTTCTTTCTTACGGGAGATCTGCAAGTGGCAGCTGATGAGCGTCAACGACAACTACACTATCGAGCACCGTCTGAATACACTCGTTCCTCTAAGGAGGCAAACTAATTCCGAAAATTAGCATAAGAGTTCCTTACTTTTATGTTTACTCGAAAACTGAGTCTATTTCATAAACAGTACCGGAACTCAAATGATTTTCTTTCGTGTTGCGAAGTAAAAAGTTACTGCCGAACTCTGGTTGAGCCGCTATCATAGCCGACGGAAGGTACGCGCTCAGCATTCAGAATAGGTGCCAGGAACTGAGTAAGTTGATGTAACCTAGAAGCAAAAATTCCGCGATCCTTATCATTGACATCTCTACCAATTGCTTGATATGCGATCCTGCTTATATCAGCGAGGTCTTCAATCATTTTTTTCCTATGGATGGGTGTATTATTCCACTTGAACATTCGGCTATTTCTGCATTTATTATTATTACATACTCGATTTATCAATTTGACCAAAAATTCATTTGGGAACCGCGACCAATTTTCCGGAATGGACTCCGGGGATGTACATCCTCAAATAATCCAACAGTGCTTAGTTTTGAACAGTGATAAACTTTTTGGCGAAAGCAGTCACTGATATTCGAAAACCCTATACTGGGTTCGGATGCAGTAAAGAGATCCTTTTTCGAGAACTTACTTAGAATGAGCATGTCGTCGCTTTGTCTACGCCCACTTTGAGCATCCATTGGACAAATGCTTGAGAGAAGTTGGGTTACCAGAAGAATGGCTCCGCTTAGTACTTCAAAATGATTGCGGGAACGCTGGAGGCCGGACCGCGCGTCAAATGGATCATCAAACATACAAAACCGCTTGGCGTAAGTCAGCAGGCCGGAAGCGAAACCGAGGTATGCGGATAGCAGTTCGAAACCACGGGAAGTTTGCGAAGCATAGGCATATTCGGAACTTCCCTTGCGTACTGTGTACTGTGACAATTGATCGGTAAGGTGGCAAGGTGTGAGTGCAAGTGGCATCCTGTAGAGTATGAAAGGGAGAGATCAACTTAGAACAAACAACGTTGACGCACACACTAACTAAATGCATGGTGTCCCACAGTATTCCACCTAGACAACTATCCCTGATTAACTGATTGCCTCACACAGTGTGACACGCGTAGCAGACAAGCGATAAATAGTTGTGCGGGTCCAATGCAGACGAGTAAGGACAGGAAAAGAAGACAGTGGGACAGACCTGCTGATCATGGAATAAATTCTGGTGGAATCTTGGGGTAATAGAATAGATGTTGAAATCGGAAACCAACTTGGCTATAATACAGCCAGATAGCATCAGGTATAAATTGAAGGGTGAGGTGATGAATCGTAACCGCGTTGCCGTCTACTATACATCTATCTTTTGCATTGCAGTATGGCTACCGAACAGTTTGAGGTGATCGGCTAGAAGGTGTCAATCAAAGCCAGCTTAACCTTTCTATTTTGCTGAAAACAAGCTGTGCTGATAAACTAACGATCAAAGGAACTGCACTCGAAATATTGCACTAAAAGATAAAGTTCCGAAGTTGTCAAAACGCTTAGGGTTCGTAAAGTTCGTAAAGCAGGCTACCCGCTTCAAAATAGATGGGGGTGGAGAATTGCGCAGACAAGAATAACTGACACGAAAGACATCCTGAATAATCCATGCATACACTGGGCAAATGCTCTCAAAATGAGTATCCGAAGTATGGGGGGTTAAGGTGAGAGGAATCAAATGCATCTACAATCTTCATTGACGTGAAAAGTGGGGGCAATGACGGCGGAGAGCATGCCATGAACAATACTGGGTGTGTGCCGCTTACGACCGATTCTGAGATCCACCAGTGCGAAACAAACGTGGAAAGACAACACCTCCTTCATTGAGTAATTGATGCCACAACGTAACACGATCGTAGGAGAATGGGTGATGGGAGCTGGGGTCGTCGCATACGGTGGCCAAAGCGATGGACAACAAATGCAGCACACTGGGTAGAACTTGATTAAACAACAGGTCGCGCAATCGATCTCTGCACTTCGTTTCGGGGGAACAAGTGTCCTGAACGGTACGCGAAGCTTTGACGAACGTGAACCGATGTGTGTCCTGAGCAAAGTACTGCAGGCATTGGATAAGAAGAGGCCAGACGCACTCGACGGTGTGTAGGCAGGAAGACACGTGAATATTTGCCTGTGAGACAAGAAACATAGTTTCGGTTGCGCTATTAGGTTGTTACTAAAGTTATTGCGGTTTTGATGTGTGAATTTTCACAGTTGTATCATTAGACAAATTTTTGATTAGTTGCTTTGATCTGCTATATCATTTGGAAGCGTTTTTCTGCGCTATCTATCAGTAGTGAAAAGTTGGCGCAATAACATGTTTCTACACTTTTACAGAACATATCATACAACGTGAACAGAAAATCAATTCCCAAGATTTCTTGTTCCAATGTAAACTAGATCGAGAGATAACAAAAGCAACTCGTAATTTAGATAGTGCATTTGGTCCCGGAACCACCAATGACCATACCACACAATGGTGATGGCAAATATTTCGAAAAGCTGACGAGCCTAGAAGATGAGCATTGTGGACGGTCATCGGAAGCAAGCAAAGATCAATAAAGAAGTTTAGTCAAGGCGAATCCGCTTTCAAACTGCTTGCACTTTTGATTTTGAATTATCAATATAGCGTGTCATGGCTCTCAAACAGTTGCGGGAGTTCGGAATGTCGGAAAAGCGGCTGCCGCACGAGTCAAATGAAAACCGAAGAAATTGCCGTTCTGAACTGTTGTCCGCCATTGTGCTGCGCAAGAACAATGACCCATTTCTCAAGTGCAATGTGACGTGCGACGTTAAGTTGATACTTTACAAGTGACGACGATTTGCGCAGTGATTGGACCACGATCAAGTTCAAGAACAATTCGCAAAGCTAAATTGTACCTAAAAGCCTGAGCTGACTGTGTGTTGGTTAGCATGATCTATCATAGCTTTCTGAATCTAAGAGAAGCCATTACAGCGGAGGAGTGGTCAATAAATGACCGCAATGCATCGAAAGCTGCAACCCATGTGCCCGGTATCGGTCAAAAGTTAGGGACCGATTCCCTTCCACATTACCGTTCGGCTGCATGTGGCACAATCAACTCTGCAAAAGCTGAAAGAGCTGGACGACGAAAGCGCCTCATGCATCATACTCCCCTCACATCTCGCATATTGACTACTAGTTCTTTAAGCACCTGGATACCTTTCTTCAAGAATGTTTTAAAATTCAAGGAGATGCTGAAATCGCATACAAAGAGTTCATCGCTTCCAAGATTCCGGAAGTCTATTCATCTGGTATAAATGAACTAGTTTCCCGTGGGTAAACATGTGAATTCGGATGACTTGTGTTATGATATAAAATATTGTCTGGGTAGAGATTTGCATTTAGGTTTCAAGATTAGAAATCGCAATAACGTCAGCAACAAACGGATAGAAACAATTCAGAGGATATGAGCGAATGTGAGAAAATGTGATGAGAAAAATAAATGAGGGTTGCATACAAACAAACGAAAGCTAAAAAGTCCAGGGAGATGCAGAGGGCGACGCAACACTGAGGGTTGATAAGCAGTAACTAATAGTAAAGTCTATACAACGATACAAGGATAAAAAGTGATGAAAACACTCCCAAGTCTGGCATATTCAACTTGTGCACACTTTTCTCATACATCTCGAGAGTCGACCGAAAGTAGAGACCAGGGCAAGACACGATTAAGGGAAGGCACTGTAAGCTGTGCGGTGTAACGTTTCTTTAGCGAAGATAAGTTACTCGTGACCAAAGGGACTATGTCCATGCATATCACGCGGATGGCAATAATGGAAATGAGATAGTACCGGATAGGGAGTAGGGTAGTCAAGTGTGGGTTGTAGTATAAGTGTGGTCCAAGGACCCCCAAAGGGTCCGCGAGATTTCCTGAAATGTCATAATTCCATTAGAAAGTTTTGAAGGTGATCATTCTAGTCTAAAGTTCGGTGACAAAGCTGTAGTGAAAATGTGTTAAAGCATATCTGACAGTCAAAATTAGCCTAGTAATTGGCCAATGTAAAGCAAACTCCTTCCACGAAGGAAGCTGGGTTGGGCAGAATGTCAAAAATGTCATTGAACTAAGCTGTCAAATACCAGAAAGGTAGGGTGGTAATCTCCTGTGACGCGATTTGTAAGGGTTAAGTGGGTCGTTCTCCGTCCACGCAAGCTCCCATAACTCAGATTATGTCCCCCGGGAGCGAGGCGAAAAGTCACTATCCTCTGAAATCGGCCAATCGGAAAGAGAGGCTCATTGGTGCGATCCCAGCCAGGGAAGCCCAGAAGGAAAGCGTGGAGCTCTCGGTGTTTGTCGAGTGTCCTCAGTCGACTTCGCGGGTTGAAGAGAGACTATATCAGCGACGTTACAAAATGTGACAATGAACAATGAATTTATACGGGTTAAGAAGTGCAACTTTACAAGTCCCGTTGGATAGTTGGTGGGGATATTAGAATAATAATGATACTAATCATAAAACAGTACTTTAAATATGAAAAAGGACTTATCATTTGCTCCGCTATAGTTCTGCAATCCGCGTGGATTCGCAGCACCCACAGTTAACATCAAATAAAACCAAAGTACACTCCAGGAGTAGCGCTGTCACAAAGTGTAAGTGAATGAGTGCGTCAGCCAACCGTCTTTTAAATACTGTTAGTGTCGGTGCAGAGACGACTGATTCTGGGAGAGCAGTTCAAGGGTGAGATATACGAATAGAAAAGAAATTCCTGCGGCACTCCAGATGGCTATACTGTTCTGTGAGTTTCAATGATTGACCCAGCAGGTTTGTATTGCTGCTGTGTTGCAGTAAGGAGCAGCACATATGATGTGGGTCGTGCAGAATCAAGTATACCATAATCAGGTCGTCTCGTAATCTACGCAACCGTCCGCTGAATACCCGCAATCGTTTAAGCCTCTCCTGGTATGAAAGATTGTGCATTCCAACTGCATTCTTAGATGCCCGACCTTGAGGCTGCTTCAGTCCGTTAAGGTCGTGTTTTAACCATGGATGCTAGGCTTGAATTGCGTATTCGACATGGAGGCGAACATACGCACTGAGCATCTGTAGAAGAGTAGAGCGGAATATTTGTCTGTTTACTTTATTTTATACTTCCTTCAATGTTTGGCGTGGAAAAGTAATCAAATTTGAGGTTTGTCTTACAATTCTTGTGTTTAATTATTTGTTTTCAGCAGCAGCTGTGCATATAACACAAATATAAGCCGTTAACTGATAACAAGAACATTGATAAACTTGTCACCGAAATAGTTGTTGTCGAAGCCCGATGTAGTATTAGTTGGTATCAAGTTCTTCCCCTCAGAAGGAGTTTCACAAAGTGTCGCTTGCTGACCATTGGTGAAAAACAAAGGACTTGTACCCTGGCATAGCGAAGACGGCTGTCGACGGGCTTTTCCCATATGTCACAGGTTATCCGTGTGAAAGTGCATTTTAGCATCACACATATACAAAGCAAAATATCGCCATAGACTTGATAGTCAACCAGATATGAGATTGCAGTTTTCTTCAATAATACCAAACATCAAACAAGTCAGAAACAATTTCACCCGTCATATTAAAGATTGATGTACTATGATTTTTATTCTTACATTCGACATATTTCGCTGTTTTACTAACTTAAAGAGACCCCCGTTTTAGTTCAGTGTACAGTAATGAACGTTTTCAGGATACCACTTCATTTCTGTGGTTAACAAAAGCTCAGGGAGTCTGCCGTGCGGGCTTCCGATAAAGGGTGGTCCCATAGTCAAAAAGTTTGAGGACCGCTGGTATAAATTCGTGACAACAATCATTTTACTGATAAATTACAAGTAGGACATTATCATACATAAATTGACGAGGAGTCAAACAGGGTAGCGTTCCACCGGTCAGTAGCGCGAAGATGAAGTAATTGGTGGACAATTCCCTTCATATTAGTGCCGGAGGTCACTTTCATTGGAATAAAGAATTATTTATTTTATATAATTTCGGCCTTTAAAATGGTTCAGTATACAGTTAAGCAAGAAAACATTCTAGTGTGTGGAAGCGAATAAATGCTCCGCCGCAATGGGTGAAATTGTGAAAGTGGACGTTGTTGAGTAATGAACGGCTGTCAGTGTGAAAGATGTCGGTGCATATGCCTGCAAACCACAGAAATACAAACCTTATGTACAAAATTACAGCGATCGTTCATGGCGATTTCGATAATTCCAAGAAAGGTTTGCAATAAGCTGTTGTCCAGATTCCAATTATCGGTTAAATGTGTTTTCACGTTAAAAATTTTATAAAAAGACTATTTTATGTCCATTTGAAATACAGACTGGTGGAACACTGCCGTCAAATAGCTGCCCGGTTCCCCTGAAAACAAACCCTTGGACAATCAGCTGTGTAGCTAAACCGGGTTTAATGGCTCCATTTTTAGTGCATAACATCCCGGCTTAATAAGTGCCGGCCTACAATCTAAGCACCTCCAGGGTACTGTTTCGTTAGGTGATAGCCTGCAATCTGTAGCTGCATGCAGATTGGGTTGGGTTCACGCGACAGACCTAGAATCGCTGTGCGGAGAACTGAATGGAGAGACATTCAAGAATTGTAGCCGTGCCGCTTGAAGAGTGAGAAAAATGAAATCTGAAAGAAGAAGCGATGGGCGCGGAAAGGAGGGCAATGATGCAGGAACCTGAGTAGTGAAGGTGGTGAGATCGATGATCGGGGGACTGGGATGAGTCACGAGGTCCTGTGAACTTCAAGTATACATGATACAAGAAAACCGGTAAGCACGCCGAATGAGTCTCGTGATATGAGTGGTTTAGAGTAATGTCTATACCATCGCAGTAGTCGAGTGCACACACAAATCAGTTCAGCTCAAAAAAACATGCTCCCATTAGTGAGGTGTAGTGGGCCAAGTTAGCAGACTTTAGATGACCGCGGCAATGAACCATGACTGACAAGGAAGGAAAATTAAACAGGAAGCAAGGCGAAAAACCGCAAATAAGCGGAGAGAATCGGCAACCGCATCTGATCGTAACGGGTCAATTAGCCAGTTGTGAGCTGAGAATAAAAGTGGTGGTGGGGTCGGTTGCTTTGAGTACCCAGCTGCGATAACAATAAAGATGGTCAAAGATTGAGAAGAACCGCAGTTCAAAC